TATTTTAATCCTCTGCACCACCCGGGAGGGTCTTAAAGATTTATTTATGTATACAGGGTTTTAAAGATTTATTTATGTATACAGGAACTGGGATGCAGGCCAGAGGTGGGGGGTGGAAGGGTGAGATGATTCACCAGAGACAGAGCAAGGAACATATCTACTCAAATACACTGCTGAATAGCAGGCAAGACAGGAGAGATCTGCTGTGCGATGTGGGTCAGCAACCTGGCTGGGGATCAAACTTGTCCTGCAGGGTGCTGATAGCTTCACGGTGCTGAGACTTAACCCCCTGTGCCATCAGGCAGGTCCCTTATCCAATATTTCTATGTATTTACTGCATAAAGTTTTTCAAAATTTTTAGTGTACTAAGTATGTTTATATATTTCAAAGCATCTATTTTATTTTCACATAATATATATGTTTAGGTGAGCAATCATCACGGCACGATATTTATGTAACTGTTATCTCCCTGAAGACACATAAAGAACATTTTATGCATCTTAGAAAAATGTGTGCACTTGCAAAATGAACCTTGTTTTTGTGTAAGCTATGATTTAATAGTTTTAAGTCTAAAATCAGCAGTCTTTTCTTAAAATCAAATTTTATTGATTTACCATTGCTATCTTTTTTTTACTATAAGCACAAAATCAACTTATATTTTATATTTGTTTTTATTGCTTTTAAACATGACTGTCCATGTATATATATATACAAAAATATATTTTAATATTTCAATATTTCAAGTATATAGTACAGCTTAATACTTTATAAAAATGTTAATTCAAAGCAGTATTATACTACTACTAGTAACAACCAATGCTAATGCCTATTACTAATGCTAATAACAACCAATATTTTTATTTTTCTGGGATACTTCCCAACTAAACTTAACTAAAATTCTAAAACAAGAAAATTGACAAATAGCCCATTACTAATTTGAGGATGAGAAGCAGAAGTTGTCTAGAAATGTGTACATAAACTGCAGTGTATGTTTTAGTTACAAAGTTTTTAAACAATTCTTTAAGCTCCCTTTCAGAAACTCATACTGTCCATACTTCAAATACGATCTTGAATCTGAAACATATTTTTCTTCATTCCTCTTCCCCATCTTTGCAGACCCTACAGGGCAGATCATGATGTGACAAGGTGCTTTAAACATTTGTTATCTGCAAGGCTCAGTATGCCAGATTCCCTCCAAATAAAACAATCAAGAAAGAAGCACGCTGACTGAATCCCGAGCTTGCTACATAGAAATATGGTCATCATATAATTTTAAAAGAACTTTTCTTGGCATGAAAAAAAAGGAGCATGCTTATTATGGAATAATTTGGGGGTACAGCTAAGTATGGAAAAGAAAAGGAAAGCACCTGTAATCCTATCAAGGTATTTTGCTCTCTCTTCTAAGGATATAAAAATATAAACATGCACCTATAAAAATATGATTATACTGTTTAAAGAATTTGAGATCCTAGTTTTTTCACTGGCTAAAATGGTAGAGTTGCTTCCTCTTTCCCTTAAATTCTTCAGAATTTATGATCTTAATAGGCAAAATAAAAAAAATCCCCAAACTTCAGCAAATGGAGACTATACTAAAGAATGCTATTTTTAATTTTATAAAGATTCATTTGAAAAAGTGTTTTAATTTGTAAATATTTATTTTGTGTAGAAGAACTGGGGTGTAAGCCAGAGGTGGGAGTAAGTATATTCACCAGAGACAGAGTGGGGAGCAGAACAGGCAGATCAACTGAAATACAATGCTGAGGGGAGCAGTGGGCAAAAACAGGAGAGGTCTGCTGTGTCATGTGAGTCAGCTCCCTGGCCGGTAATTGAACTCAGCCCATCTCGGTGGGCTAAGATGGCAGTATTTACCCCCAAGGCCACCAAGATGGTCCAGGTGCAGTTTAATTTTTTGATAAGACCTTAAAAGCTATAAAATTATTAATATATATCCCATTTTGGATAACTGATGCTTTTCAGTATTCAAAATGCTATCAACTGGTACATGGTCTTTTATGTTTTCATAACCCCTCAAAGCCTGAGAAGGGCCACCAAGTTAGATACAGCACAAGAATCATATAATCCCACATTTCAGGTCATAGCCAAGGATCCACTCGAAAATGACAATTTATAGTGTCACACATGGATGATCGGAGGTCTGTTTGTAAAGTCCACGTGCTGAACTCCTACAAGATGTAAAACAGCATTGATGGGCTTGTGATCCAACCTATTCCTATCACGGTGTATAAAATGGATGTTATTACCTAGAAAAGAATAAGAATAAAATGCAGAGGTTGGCATATAGTATCATTGGATAACACTGTTTACCAGAATCAACTTTTAATTAGTCCAAGAGGAAGAATCAATTGTATCATATTCTCTAATGCAAAAACAACTTTTATTGAAGGTAATAAAACATAACAAGGATTACGGTTAAATACGAGTGATACTTAATGTTTTATGAGATTCAAGGGGAAAGATTCTTAAATTATAACCTCCCATTAGGCTGTTAAATGTCATTAAATAAAATTTCCTGTCAAACAAATTGTCAGATATGGAACAAAGGTATCAAGTTGGAAAATAATCTAGCTTCTTAAATGTAATACTGAAATACATTCTTTAAAAGTTCACTTCCAACATGATATAATAGCTTGCATTATAACCAGAGAGCAAAAGGCTGAAAAACAAGGACATTAAGACAATCAGTTATAATCAATCTTGTTATCTCTTCAAATTTTAAGAAATCATAGTTTATATAGAAGGTTATGTTTGAATCTTGAACCCAAGACCAGAATTTTAGCATAAAATATAAGACTAAATAAAGATTATAAAAGAGGCATGATTTCTGCCATCAACAGAATCACCAGCTTTAATGTCATAAATTAATTTAAAATGAAATACTGTAGTAACTGTGAAAGAGACTGGAAGGAATATATCCAGCTCTCGCCTTAGAAAGTCACATTTTTTTCCCGGTGGGTAGTATCAAAATATTCTTCTTATGAACTGTTTTCCAACTTGGCAACACAAATCACAGCTCTCTGTGCTTTTTATTCTTGCACAACTGAAAGTGTGGTCAAATGATGCTGAGACATGGAGAAGAGGGACTCAAAGAACAAAACTGTCCAAGAATGAAGTTGGAAATGAGTCATTCAGGCTAGAATGGTCACTCTGGGCACTTTATAGGATGCATTCTCATAAGACATTATTTCTTTTTCAGTATATCTAACTGGTATATGTTTAAGAGGGAAAAGGAATAAATGACAGATTTTAGTTAGATATAATTTATCTGCTGCATAAAGTAAAACATCCTAATACTTGGCTGGCATTCCCTTTCTAAAGGCATCCTTTCAGACATCTGGGAATTTATTAAAATAAATGTGAAATTTACAACTCTCAAGACGCCATGGTATAAAAATTAACAATTTTAAAGAGGGAGTAAAACAAGAGCAGTTTACTGTCATATTTGGGTTTCTGTCCCTGACTATACTTCCAGAACATGGCAGCCATCTAAACTCAAACATTTAGCTGAGTGAATGCAAAAGAACTTCAGGGGTCCAAACTGATGGATAAAGTTGTTAGAATTTTGTGGCTTGTGGCCTCCCTGGTGGGTGGCACAGGAGTTAAAGACAGCGCTATCAAGCTACTGCCTGCCACTGCAAGCAAGAGTTTGATCCCCAGCCACCCAGGGAAATAACCCATATGGTGCAGAGGACTGCTTCTGCTCCCATCGGCAGTGTGTTTTAGGAGATCTGCCTGTTCTGTTTGTGGCTTCCAGTTGTTCTTGAATGAGTTGTCCCCTGGGTCTGCTTACTTTCTGATGCTGAGCAAGTCTTCTAGTTTTGTCAGATATATAAATAAATAGATGGATTCCTCCACTGACAAGTAAAAAGAGTACTTAACAATTTTTTCCTATTTGGAAATGCCTACTTCACTGAACTTTTTTTTAAGGATTTATTTTTATTAATTTATGCATACAAGAACTGGGGTGTAGGCCAGAGGTGTAGGCAGAGAGGGTGAGAGGATTCACCAGAGACGGAGTGGGAAGCAGAACAGATGGATCTAGTGAAATATGTTTGCGAATGGACAGACAGAGGGGAGAGGTATGCTGTGCCATGTGGGTTAGCACCTGGCCAAGGAATCCAACCCAATTTACAGTGGCTGGCGATAGCCTGACAGCACTGAGACTTTAACCCCTAGCCACCAGGGAGGCCCCACCACTGAACTTTTTAAAGAGTACTTACTCTACCTACCCCAAATACCTGAAGTGACTCAGGCAAGAGAAGGCACATTGCATCCCACAAACAGGCATCAAAATACACAGAAACCTTTGGGGAAAAAAGATGTTCCCTACTAAATCAGGGATTACCTGGGCCTAAAATGAGGGTTCCACCTTGTTGAGCTGGATCTCCTTGAAAATCAAAAAGAGGGCCCGTCACTGCTCGCCACAGGCTCTGAATGCTCCCCGAAAATATATTTGATTTTATATGGGGGCTCTGTCCTGAAATATTAAAAATTGTCTTTAGACATTATCGTTTTACATTGATTTCAATATTAAGATAATGTTAGTAACTTTTATAAGACATTCTCTCCTGTGTGTGTCATATTACTTTCTACGTTGTCTTATTTTCTTTAAAGAATGGTGATTCACTTTCTCACTGTTGAGATTGTGGACCAGAAAACTCTTTGTCCAGTGCAATGAAGGGTATTTAGCAGCTTCCCAAAATTCTGCACCTACTAACTGCCATAATACTGTTCACCAGGTTGTGACAACACAAAATGCCTTCAGATAACATTAACTGTCCCCTAGGAGGGAGTAGGGGTAGAGTATCTCCCTTGCAAACTACTGCCGTGAAGAAAGAAATGATGACAGACCCCAGATCACTTTATACACACAGAAATGTAGTCTTCTCAAACTAGTACTGTTTTTCTCTTTAGTTTTCATAGGTATTTCTTTCAACTATTAACATGTGACAACCAAGAGACCATTATATGCTGTTCAAATCCTATTTCCCTTTCTGGTCCAGCAGCTAAACTACATTTCTTTGCTTGTTCTGGCAGTTTGTGATGGCGACATGACAATGAATAAAATGAGGTGTACCACCTGCAGGTCACTTCCTAAAAACCTTCCACAAGCCACTCTTTGTGTTTTTTCTACTTTCTTGGAAACCTCGGGTGGAATATGGCCGAGACACAAGATGGAAGGGGCCTGGGTCATTCCTACTACATCCCTGAATTGCTGCTTGGAAGAGAGGCGCCTGGATACACACACTCTTCTTTCATGTAAAAGAATTACCCTGTCATGCTTCAGTAGCCACTACAGCTACTGCTCTGTCTTTCTGTGCTGCCAATTTTTGTTTCCTTTTTCACAGCAAATGCTTTACTTCCACTGCCTTTGAGTAAAGAAATTCAGTGGCTTTACCCTTCTCGTAACTGATCTTTGTCCTATCCCTCCTATAGCTTGCATTAGTTTGACCTGCCGACTTTCTTAGTATTTCCAGATACCTATTACTTCCCTTCATCTCTCCAACTCTTCCATTTCTTTCATGTTTACTCTAGACTGGCCATTCATCTTACCAGGAAACAAATACAGGTGAATACATTCAGAGATATGGGTAAGACATTTAATTGTACTGTTCTCTAGGATTCTATGCCTAAAATGTTCAGAAATCCAACCTATCTCATGTCCAAAGGGGGAGGCACTTAATATTTTCAAAATTTTAGAAATTTGAGGGAGATTCTATTATCCAGAATTTAACAATCTTTTCTGTTAAGCACAATCTAATCTTGCCAGTTTGAATTTGTATGTAAAAGTCCTGTTTCTCAGTCTTCTATACACCTACCACTCACATGTATTTAATAATTTTATCTTATTTTTTATCTTTATGAAATATTCTATTCACTTAAATTATAATCGTGTATCTCTAGGGTCTTAATTTTCAAGCAGGGCAATTTTGAGGCTGATTTTGAGATTTATGCATATATCCCTTCATGGAGGAACTTTAAAAAATTGTTTCATGAAAACCAAATATTTTGTTTGTAAACACAATACTGTAACACAGGTCAAAGGAATTTAAATGATTTGCATGTACTCTCTCTATTCTGTCTAGAATACATCTGCTTTCTTTGCAATTCCATATCTTTATTGTGGCAATGAATGGTGAAGCGTTACTAAAGTGAAACTCACAGTTTATATCTAAAGTGCTAAATGATAAATAAACCTTACACATGCTGAGACTGTTAAAGCACAGGAAAACCATGTACCAAAAAGTAAGGTTCACAATCTGCAACGTCCCAACTTCCTATACTAAAGAGTGAAAAAGAGCAAACTATGTTTACACTAGTTCATAGTTTAAATTTAGATTGCTTTCTCTAAAAAACGTCAATAATGGCCCTCCCTGGTGGCGCAGCGGGTTAAAGCACAGCACTGAGAATCTGAAGCCACTTCTGCATGAGTTCGATTCCCGCCTGCCCCGGAGGAGACCACATGGCGAGCCAGACCTCTCCTGACCTGCCCGCTGCTCCCCTCAGCAGTGTACTTCGTCGATCTACCTGTTCTGCTCCCCACTCTGTCTCTGGTGAAGCCTCTCACCGCCCCTGAGCCTCTGGCCTGTACCCCAGTTCTGTATGAATAAATAAATAAATAAATCTTTAAAAAAAAAAAAAGTCAATAAATGGATCATGTCATTTCTGTCTCATTAATAACTCTCGGATCCATCCCTTTCTCTCCATCTCCTATTTAGACCCTGTCATTTCTTTCTAGCTTATTACTACTACCTTGTCAAGAGTATCACCTGTCCCAGTTGTCAGGTTCCAATTATTCCTCTACGGTGAATAGGTGACTATCACTTCTCTGCTTCGAACACTATTACTCTCTTATTGCCTCCAGAACAAATTCAAACTCCTTGGCATGTCCATGGTATATCTGCTTGGCTCAAACCAATTTCCTAATTAGTTCCTAAAGCCCAGTGAGATGCTTGGGTCTGCATTTCCCCAAAGGAGTCACATCTTCCCATGTTTTGCACATGCTCCATTTTTCCAGCAATATTTTTTCCCAACCTCACTTTACCCAGCTAGCTCCTTTAAAAGTGTGTTTAGACAACACCTCCTCTGAGAAGGCTCCCCAGATCCTTCTCCAACCTTGCACTTCTGGCACAGGTACTCCTAGTATATGATCTCATCTAGTACAAACCCTTAAAACTATATTGTAATCAACCCTTTACTTCTTTCTCCTAGAGTAGATTATAAGCCTCAGTATGGCAAAGGCTGTGTGTTTTATTACCATCCTCCTGAGAATACCCACTGTGGTGGGTTTAACAGACAAATGGTAGTATTTCTTCAGATGAATGATCTGAGTGAGCTGAGTTCTCCTGACACTTCAGAAATAAGTTCTTTCTATTTAAAACACAGATGTACAGTTTAACTAAAGCTTATGAAGCTCTATTAATTACAAATTATGTGTTCAGGGCAGGGAAATGTGGGCCATAAAAAAATAAATAAAACACCAAACTCTTCAACTAACTATACTACCCGGCAACCTAAAAAGCACAGTAAGAGATATATAATAAAATACGAAGTGCTATTAAAGTACAACTAGGAAAGCAATTAGTGTGACTGAAGAACCATTAAGACTCTTTGAGTCAGGTTTTAAATGAAAACTAAGATATCATCAATAATAAAACATAAGCCATAGTGTTAAGTAAGAAAAATACGTTAACTTTTGCAAAATTATTTTTCTCTATTCTCAAAAGTAAAATGTACTCATTGTCAAAATAGACACATACTTTGTAGTAAACTCTCCACTCTTAAAATCTTTTCCATTACACATGAACATATACACTATAAATCCTTATGAAAATATTTTATTTTCACAAAATGGAATCAGAGTAAGAACAATGTTCTGCTTTTTAATCAATGCTTCATAGACTTCAATGACTAGGAAGCAAAGTTTTAAAACCTCATGTATCTAGGCCACTTGGAGGAATCATGAAAACTGACTGGCCTATGAATTTGCCAGTTGTCTGTCTGTCTAGCTATCTATCATCTATCAACTTACCTACAAATGCAAAATAGGTACATACACATGTCTCTTTGAGGCATGTCATGTCTTACCTGAGGAAACAATTTCTTCACCTCTTTTCATTCCTAATCTTTTAAAAATTTCTCTTTCAGGGTCAACATAGATTTCATGAGAATATCCAGTCAGTTTGCAGAAAGGCTGGGGAAAAAAAGACCAGCTGGAATTCTTATAAGAACAAATGAAGAAAAGTAATGATAGTCTAACTTAATTTTAGCAAATTTAACTTTCACTTGGTGCCTCAAATACTATAATTTTTAATGTCTGAAACAGACTTAATCCATTAGTTTCTCAATTTGCAATGTATTTACCTCAATGTGATGGTAGGATGACTGTCCAATCACTATTAGGGTGACATTTGCTTCCTTCAGGACAAAAAAAGAACAGGAACATAAGAGAAATTATGTTTTATTCAAATTCCCCTACCCAACTTTTGTTTCATTCTAATGCCACCTATAGGCTTCAAGGAGAACAGAACTGCAAAATTGAGTGAAAGTAAATGTATGCTAAAATGTTCAATCAATTCAGATGATCTTTTCGCTAAGAATTTAAAAATTATAATTCTCTATACTCCCTCCCAAAAGCTTACAGTAAGAAGTAGAGACTGCTAAAGTAGAGTCACTTAGTCAATTTTATTCTTCTACATCCCAATGGATAGTCTGCTAAAAAAAAAATCTTAGTTTTAACACAAGCTCCATTCCAATGCCTGTCTGGTGACAAACTTACATGTACCTGAAGAAAAATACACATATGAGACTATTCAAGGATATGAGATGTATAATCTATTAACATACACATTTTCACCCTTAAGATATACATTAGCATTTTCTTAAAATGTACACCTAGTTGGAATCTTTTTGTAATACAAATAGTAGGAAAAATATATCAATTACTTCCAGCATCTGTGGTTTGGTATATTATCATCATTTGAAACAAAGCAGGTTACATGAAAATTATTATCGTTAGTATGTTTATTAGCAGACAGGACAGATAGAAATAGATCTCTAACGTGTCCCATTTTGATGTGTTGGAGATGCAGGGGAAAGTGATAATCTCAATTTTTAAGTGTCTGGAGAGGCGCTGCCCTTCAAATCTCACCCATTACACAGCTAAGAAGTGACAGGCAAATTTCACGAGGCCCCCTGAAGTGGGACACTTTGCTACTTCGAGCTTAGGAAACTTACCTGTAAGAAGCTCTTGGGAATTTTGGCCAGATCTTCTACATATTCCTTGCAGATATAACACAGGAAATGCTGCAATCGTTAACACGGCAAAAAGGAAAAGTTAAGAGCTTAACACCTTCAGGGCCCAGAAGGGACCCAGTTTTTGATGAATGACGCTAATAAACGCAACACCCACGGAGGATAGAAGGTATCAAAGGCCCCAAAGTGCATTAAAAACAGACCGCACCCTGTCCCAGCTAGGCTTCCTCTCTTGCCCAGAAAAAGGCCTGGTGTCCACGGGCTGTTTTTCCATTTCAGTTAAAGGAAGCGGGAGGCGCGATTCGCATTCCAGAAGCCTCCAGAGGTCGCCCAGGGGCGGGCCAAGCCACAACACTCGGACCCGACCCTCCAAGGGACTCGACGTCCATCTGGGCAGAAGCCGCGACGGCAACCTCCCTCCCTGCCTGCGGGCGAGCGGGCTCCTCCGCACCCACCCCCGACACCCCACCGCACCCGAGCTCACCCGCACGAAAACCACTACGGCCCGGCGCTCCCGGAACAGCTCGCCGAACGGCACCAGCCTCCCGCTGGCGTCCAGCACGGGCAGCTCGGCCACGCCGGTGGCCAGGGCCTGGCCGCGCTCAGGGCCGCTCGGGACCGGGGCCAGCGCTGCCCGGCCGCTGACCTGCCGAGTGACCGGGACGAGGGTGGGGGCGGCCATCGCGCCCCGCTGCCGGCGCCCGGGGTCAATGCTGGGCGAGGCCCGGGCAGCGCCGGGGGAGAGCGGGTCCGCGCAGGGAGGATCCACGGGGCGGGGCTGGGGCTCGCTGGGGCACCGGGCGGAGCTGCGCGGGTCCCGACCATTCCTGGCGCCTGGGGCGGGGCTGCGTAGGTCCCAAGAAGTTTGGGGTCTCTGCCTGCCGGAGTGTGGGGGGTGAGAGGTTAGGGGAGGGACACCCTGTACGCCGGAGGGTGGGTCTGGGTTTCAGGGCGGCTCTTTCGGTCTCGAGGTGCAGCAAAGTACAAGCGGCAGGCACGTTTTCTGACTTAGCTACTCGTGGTAAAAAGAGAGAGAGGATCCTAAGCAAGGAAAGCAGTAATTAGGAAGAAAGTCATCCTCCAAAGCTTCCTGGACTGAATCCTTACCTATTTAAGGGAACCACTTTCTATGTGCTTTTATTTTTTCCGATTTTTATTATGTTAGGGTTTTTTTGTTTTTTGTTTTTGCATTAAAAACCACCTTTCTTCACCCGAGTCCCGAAGCGCTTCCTCCCAGTTTTTGATCCCACTCCCTCCTCTGTTCTGGCATTTTATTGTAGAGGTATCATTAACATATAATTATGTAACATAGTGTTATGTAGTTAAGTTTAATTTTTTTAATTAAATTTTAATTTTTCAGTAATACAGATGCCAAAAAGATGGTACACCAATCAGGAGAGACCAGGACTCCCTGGTGACACAAGGGGTTAGGTCATAGCATTGTGAAGCTATGTAGGCAGCCACTGCAGCACAAGTTCTATTGTAACAGGGTGGTCCCCAGGAAAAGGGTAAGTTCCAGGTTCCCTGCCCCACCTTGAAGGAAGGTGGAGCTGAGCAGAGAAAAGAAAAAAGAAGAGAAGGAATCAAGGAGGAAGGAAGCAGGATGGAGAGCCAGGAGGAGACCGGAGGAAGCCACATGGAGCAAAGGGAGACATGTGAAGAAACTGTATTTATTTCTTGACCCTGGACTGGTTGAAAGAGGTGAGAGACCCTTGGGGAGGTGACTATGGCAGTGTTTATATTGATTTTGATTTTGCTCTTTTCCTCCCAGACTTGTCTGGCCATTTCTGACCCTTTTCTATGGGTCCCAGCCAGGAGGTGTTTTAGTCTTGTGGGCTTTCAGGCCTTGCTTTGGGCCAATCCCTTTTGGGTGGACCTTTGCCCATGAAGGGATGGGTAATGTCAGGTGTTTGATTTAGAAATTATATTCTTTGTCTTCCGTATTGTATACTCACTGTATTAGAAGTTTTTTTTTTTTTTATTAAAATCTTATATGTTTTCTCTTAATGTGGCAGATAGTAGAACCTCTTAAGAGCAGGCAGGTTTGGGGATTCAGTGGTGCCCCTCTCTCCCTGCCCTGTAACACTATCACTGGCCAGGGAGGTGACCCACATGGTGCAGCAGACCTCTCCTGGATTGCATGCTGTTCCCCTTGGCAGTGTATTTCAATGATCTGCTCCCCAATCTGTCTCTCACCCCCTGTACATTTGGCTTGAACTCCAACTCTTGTTGTACATTACATAAAATAAATAATTTTTTTTTCTTTTAAAGATTTGTTTATGTATACAGAGCTGGGATACAGGACAGAGGTGTAAGGGGCTGGTGAGAGGCTTCACCAGAGAGTGGGGAGCAGAACAGGCAGATGGACGAAGTACACTGCTGAGCGGAGCAGCGGGCGGGTCATGAGAGGTCTGCCACGCCGTGTGGGTCACCTCTGGGGGCGGGGATCCAACCCTTGCTGAAGTGGCTTTAGCTTCTTAGTGCTGTGCTTTAACTTGCTGTGCCACCAGGGAGGGCCAAAATAAGTCAATCTTAAAAATAAAAAAATAAATAAATAAACTGGGAGAAAAGGAGAAAAAAAAAGTGCAAAATAAAAATACAAATCAAGATGGTGATTTCCATTGTCTCTTTCAGGGACAACCTTCCCAAGTATCTCTCACCTATGTCTCTTTCATTAATCCTCTACATGTCTTTCCTCCAGATATCTCCTTCCAAGTCTCTTGAAGTCCCTGGGTGCAAGAGATATCCAGAAAAGCAAGTGTACCGCAGAGCCCATTGTCCTCTGTTTCATAACTTTACCTTGCCACCCAACTCCATCTCTAGTTCCCAGTAACTCTCTCTGTTAAAATGTCCAGTCATGGCACACCGGGACCTATAATCCAAGGGGACTGACTGCATGTGAGTAGGAACTTGAAAAATGGTACCTGTCCTGCAATGAGATATAACAATTTCGTTGGTGGCCAGTGTCATCATGGTTTCATATCATTTCAATCAATCTGCCAATAGAAACAACCCAAAAGGAGTGAGGTTACTACTGGGGAGATTGAGGCAGTTTTAGTGACATGATATGGTTAGTAATTGGAGAAACATAGTTATGTGCTCTGAAGTTTATAATACTGACTAGCTCAGGCATTGCTTTGTGTTTTCAAATCTTTTCCCAAGAGTTTATCATGGAAAATTGAAAGAATTTTACAATGAAGATGTCTATATCTACTGCCTAGATGCTTGTGTTTTTACTTTATCACATACATCTGCATCTGTCCACAGTTAGGTGAATTTGCCTGTTTACTGACCCATTAGCCCCACTCTTATCAAAATATGGAACATTTGTATTACTTAAGAAAATTCCAACTGTTTTTGTTACAGTTGTTTAAGATATAATAAAATCAGTGTAGAAATGTGCTAGTGTTACTGAGCTCAAGGGCTTTTCTTTTATTTTTAAGTTTTCTTACATCATCATTGTTCATTTTTTTACAGTAAGTGGTGCTTATGGTGATCCATGCAAGGTGAGTTGCTTTGGGCTGGTCAAGCATTGGTCAACCATGTTAGATGCCAAACAGTTACAGGGCAACTCCATTGTGAAATGGCATGTGCCCTTGAACAGGAGTTATAAGGAGACTCAATTGAAGGTACACACAAAAAGAATAACAAAGGGTTATTTACAAAAATAAAAGCAGAAATGAAATTAATAGCTTAGGGAGAAAGAGAGAGAGAGAAATTGGTGAATGTGTCCTACTGGTTCCACTGAGCTGGAACCCCAAAAGCACTCTGAAAGTCGGCAAAACCAAGGGCCCCCAAGACCCACAAGGCTAGTTATATACTAAGCCTGGCTGCTCAACTCCATCCTCAGTTCCCAGGAATCCCCACTTTGGTGGTGATTACATTATGGGAATTTTAGTCCTTGGCATCTT